AACATACTTTTTCCCTTTGCAACATACTTTCCCCTTTGCAACATACTTTCCCCTTTGCAACATACTTTCCCCTTTGCAACATACTTTCCCCTTTGCAACATACTTCCCCCTTTGCAACATACTTTCCCCTTTGCAACATACTTTCCCCTTTGCAACATACGTTCCTCTTTGCAACACACTTTTCACCCTGTCTTGTCGCCACCCCCACCACTCGCCTCACCCACCGTAGCTCAGGCTTCCTTTTTTATCTTTACACTCCAAACCATAGCAAATGTGGTAGCGCTGTGTGTGTGTGTTTGTGTGTAGGCCTAAGATACTGGCAGTTGGCAGCCTGAGGATGATGCCCGTATTTAAAGGCTTTATCATTCTCCCTCCAGGCATCAGGCCCGAGAAAATCATGTTCGATAGGAAAATCCATAATGACGATGAACCCTTTTGGCAAGGTTCGTAATGATGCTTATATACAGATTCTTCCTGCCATTGTGAACTCGTTACTTCTTTCTTTTTTTTTATATCTGACTCTCACGACTGGTTCGTAGTGAAGCGTCTTGTGGATTCTTTGAGTAACCCCTTTAAACCCTGACCAACCCTCAGCTCCGGCAGTCCCACAGTAACCCACGCACGCAGGCTGGGCGGACATCCTCGCAAGTTGCTCCTGATATTCAAGCCGATTTTTTTTTTCTTTTTAAGATCTGATTTTTAAAAGAAATACGTTCATAGTAAGATAGTCCAGTCGTTAGCCATACTCTATTTCCCTTCATTATTTCGCTCTTAAATGTCAATCTGAAGCAACTTGGTGATGTCAACGCAGCCGTGAGTTCTTGTGCATAGCAGACTAACCTGTAGCTCTGGAAGTAATGGTATGCCTTATATATTTAGAATGACCGGGATAGCGACGTACTACACCTCTCTCTCAATGTGTGATTGGAGTACCGGGTGGTCCTCTTAGAACGCCCACTGCTGTGCCCAAAATCACCAACACGCAGGGAATATTCTCCTTCCTTCTCTCTCTCTCTGTCTAGCTTTCCTGTCTCTACGTTTTCTTTCTTGTCACTTTCACTTCTTAGAGCGTAGAGAATAGAGATACGTGGAAACTACCAGTCCGAGACACCCAAGTAGCATGTAACTCGAGGACACTGGACACCTCATTCACGTTCTTGCGTAGTTTTCTGATGCTGAAATGCCGTATTTCCCTTCCGCATAAACAACAAAAACCTGCACCCCATGAAAAGCACTAACACAAATTTCGGAATAATGTTTATACTTCCACATAAACAATAAAGATATCCACATATGGAAACCAATAGAAACAGTTATTGGAATAATGTTTATGTCTCCCCACTATAAACAGCTCGGTGCTCATATGAAACCACTAATAAGAACTTCGGAATAACGCATTTTGAGCAAGTTTACTCAGCACAAGCTCGTCCACAGCTTCAGCTTTCCTCTACACACCCACTACCCAAAAGCACGCCATATTTGTTTAGGTTTTCACACTTAGACACTGCACCGTTTGCGCCTGACACGTAACCCACATTAACATTAGTCCTTCCGACCTTACTTTCACCACGATTACGAAATACTCCAACGTCATTGCTACTTCGAGAGCAGTCTTGGTATAACCTCTGGACTCTGACACAGCCTTGACCTCCATGTGACCCCTCTGGACCCCTTCCTCCTCCCTTAGTGTAACTCTCTCGACTGTAGCGGAACCCTTGACTCTGGTGGATTCTTCGACAACTCAGGTGAAGCCTTTGAAACATCCGACCTTGGTATAACTCTCGACCACAATTCACTCCTCGATCTGGTGTTCCTCTCGACCTTTAGTGAAACCTTTTAGTGAAATCTTAGCGCCATCCTCAACCTAGGTTCAAACCTACTTCCTCACTATAACCTTTGACCTTTGGTTAACCCCGCCGCGAGGTCGACTTCCCGAGCTATTCTTAGTCGCTGCGATTCCTGGAGAACCGAGGGTTAATTTATCAAGAAAGCATTTTATTCTGCCTGTTTGCTTTTTCAATAGAACTTAGAATTATCTATAGAGAGACATAGACTGTTGTAGATATGGCATATATGTGATGAAACACATCATATGACAATTTTCAATACAGTAAAGCCATGATGGCGGTAAATGGCACAGCAAGAATTTTTCATCCCAAAGACTATCGACAATCACGAAAATTAAAACCGTCAATGAATTCAATGTGATACTGACGTAGAGAGCAGCCGGCGGAGCCCACAATGGCCGCGCCCTCACCCACCCCCTTGTCTCCCGCAGACGTCAAGCCGGAGAACATCATGTGCCAGACCAGGACGTCGACCAACGTCAAGCTGATCGACTTCGGCCTGGCCACCAAGCTGGACCCCAACGAGGTCGTCAAGATCTCGACGGGCACGGCGGAGTTCGCGGCGCCTGAGATCGTGGAGCGCGAGCCCGTCGGTTTCTACACCGACATGTGGGCCGTCGGCGTCCTCGCCTACGTGCTCCTCAGCGGCCTCTCGCCCTTCGCCGGAGAGAACGACATCGAGACCCTCAAGAACGTCAAGGCCTGCGACTGGGACTTCGACGAGGAGGCCTTCGCCAACGTGTCCAACGAGGCCAAGGACTTCATCCGCCGTCTCCTCGTCAAGAACAAGGAGTGAGTGTCTCTCTTTGGCCTGTTCTATGAGAAGCTTTTTCCGCGGAATTTCATATTCCAGAATGGACTCTGAATGTTTCTTAATTAGTAACTTCCTTAGCTATACATCCTTGTACCCTCATCACGGAAGACATCAGCATGGAAATCTTTTTGTTGAACTTTCTTTAAAGAATACAAATTTCCATGGTGCAATATCATTATTATCAATAACAGTCACCCGAGTCTTACATTCGCCCTGACGATTCTACCATTACCGGCCTCACGATAACATAACTATCTCTATGTCCACAGGAAACGCTTGACCGCCCACGAGTGTCTAATGCACGCCTGGTTGCGCGGAGACTACTCACCCCGCCTCGAGCCCATCGATATGATGCGTTACATTCCCATTCGTGATAAGATCCGCGCTAAGTACAAGGAGTGGGAGAAGTTCCTCCTGCCCATCGGTCGCCTGGCTGAGTACTCGTCTCTCAGAAAGCTGCAGCTTGAGAAGTACAGGATACATGACACGCACTTCGGTAAGTTCCGCCTACCCATAAGCATTGTTATTTGTGCTGCATTCTGTTCTTCGCTTTATAATTTCCATTCTGCAAGTATTTCAAGAAAACATGTAGATCATAGCGCTGGCGATTTCTCAACTTCCCCCGACGCTTCCTTCCTCAGACCGCCGACAGTGTGCTCCTCGCTTTGTTATCCGACCACAGAACGCCTTCGCTTACGAGGGCCAGAGCGTCAAGTTCTCTTGCCGCATCGTAGGCGTTGCTGTGCCGACGGTATGCTGGTTCCACAACAACATGGAGCTCCGCCAGTCCGTCAAGTACATGAAGCGATACTCTGGCGAGGACTACACCTTCGTCATCAACCGCGTGAAGCTGGATGACCGCGGCGAGTACATCATCCGCGCTGAGAACCACTATGGCGCCCGCGAGGAGCCCGTCTTCCTCAACGTCCAGCGTAAGTACCACGTGGTTTTACGCCTGTCTTGAGTACCTGTGGATCAGAATGGATTTATGGCGTTTGCAATATCCCCTTTAAAAGATGTATTTATCCATCCAGCTCTCCACAGAACCCTTAAATCATTAAAAAAGTCATCCTAAAACGATTTAACGCGTTCCCTTCCCCCGCCGCAGCCATGCCACCAGAGATCCCGCAGTACAGACCGCAGGAACAGATCGTCCGCCGCCGCCAGGCCCTCAGCTACAAGATGTGGCAGGAGGAGTCGGAGGGCGCCCCGAGCTTCACTTTCCTCCTCCGTCCGCGTGTGATCCAGTGCCACCAGACATGCAAGCTCCTCTGCTGTCTGTCTGGCAAGCCCACGCCCACAGTCAAGTGGTTCAAGGGCGCCAAGGAACTCACCAAATCCGACTACACAATGAGCCACGCCGACGGTGTGGTCACCATAGAGATCGTTAACTGCAAGCCAGGTGACTCTGGCAAGTACAAATGCGTGGCCACCAACCACCTCGGCACCGACGAGACCTCCTGCGTAGTCATCGTTGAAGGTAGGTCGTCCGCTGCTTCTCCTTCGCCCTACTTTGATATACTGATCATATTACAAGAGCTTTTATGTTATATCTGCAATAGCTTCCACTTTCAAAGTGCAAAAGCTGTTGTATTCACAATGCAAAGAAAGAGCTATCATATTCAAAGTCTTCTAAATTTCCATGTGGCAAAGTTGCTTCCAGATATCTTTGTATTTGACTGACCCAATTTCTCGTTATGTCATGATCAATGTCTCCCTCTAGAATCATAATCCAGTGCATGATGAAATCTATGTTAAAGTTCTCAGCTCTTATGCTACTCATCATCTAAGCAATGTCGTCACTTTCTCAGATGTTTATTGTAGACGCTTTTAAAGTTGTTGTAGCTCCTCGAATGCAATTGGTTATATTGTAATTGTAATACTATTTCTTCCTGCGCGTGTCCTCAGACGGGAGACTAGCCATCCACACCGACAGTCATTAACTTACCGACTTACAGTATTTTTAGTTCTTTATTATAGTTACTTTACGGAACGTGTTTACAATACTTGAACATCATAGCTCCAAAATACATTGCATTTCGCTGACAGATAACTCATCACGAGCAGTTAACCCTCTTGCTTTACAGCTAATGACCAAGACAATACTTTTTATGACTCTGAAGTATTTAAATGACCGCTTTCTCCTTGTGTTTCGAGCCGACCTTTATTTAACTCAATCTATTTTTTTATTTTTTTCGACGCATATATTACAAGCTTTGCTGAAAGCTTTTCTTTCCAGCTTTATTTATTAACGAAAGACTTATATTTTTACTATCATGTTCACTTTAACCACGCTGAGACTTGGCTGGACGTTACTAGAATTCACGCTTCCCAAAACACACAAGACGCAAAATAATCATACACAATTTCCCAATCTCTCCTGCAAGGCTCTGGAGATCGCACTGACGAACAGAACTCTCTCATGAAGTCTATGAAGTTCACAGGTAAACCTTCAGACACAGTGTCTCGAAGGCCCCGGTATAACGACCTCTTCCCGGGTTCCTAATACCGGGGTTCTCTCATCGTAGTAGACACGGGTGTCCTCTAGGTTGCTATGCATCGTGTACGGCTAATGCTTTTCTTTAATAAAGAAACATCCAACCATAAACACATAAAATGAAAAATACTAGCAAAAGAATGCTTATGGTGTCTGCCTGTGGATGTTTAGTGAACCATACGGAACTATGTATAAGCATATTGGTCTTCATACATAATTCGCATATGGTCCATTACCAGTAACAGTCTAAAATCCTCCCTTTTCTATGAACTATTAAACGGTAGACGTGATTTTCTCCAGCTTCCCGACGATATTAAGACTTTTTGGTCATTTTTTCTTATTTTTTGGTAACGGTTAAATTTTTTACATCCCTAACGAGACGATGTATAGAGAAAAATACATTCTTTTAATCGCGAAATAAGTATTTTTTATTATTTCGCGACAAATAACGTACAGAGTCTCCATTATGATAGAAAATCCTTGGTGATAAACTTTGCTGGGAGAAGAATGGCAACACGTTAGTCTCTTGCTCACATCAAGGATAGCACATGTGAAATTCACTTAATTAACTTGATACTGCATTAATCTTCCACTTTAAACCTGCATGCGTGGCAGATTAAGCAGTGTATCGTAAGGGATGAAACAGCTGAGACAATGTGGGTGCCATTCTCTCCGCGCACAGGGACGCCTGCTGTAGCCAGCATGTGGCAGCTCCTGGCAAGTGAAGCCGGAGCTGTCATGAACGATAATGAATGCCTTTGGATCGCTTATTAACACGATATTTTTTCCTACTTTAAAACCAAGGTGTTGAAGTATCAGCAGAACAAACACAGCTTCTTAAGAACCTCTCGAGTGAAGGTAAACGCTTTTGATTGAGCCTTGTTCCTGTAACCGTTGCTCCCCGTGCATCCGATCCGCTGAACCGCCTGCCTCGTGGCGTCAGGAGCTACAGCCCCGCGCTGTCTCCCTGGAGCCACACGCACCAGGCCTCAGTGTTCTCCCGGATCACACTTCCCTTGCTTGCTGTCTTTATATACGTGTGTGTAGTACTACCATCTTTATGGTGTAGAAAGTAGTGATACCGTGTTACTTGTATTCAACGTAATATCTCTCTCAGCGAGGGAGGTTTTGGTTAGGTACTGTGCAGTTGACGAATCCTCTCGTATCGCAGGACCAAGTTTCCTGGTTTTATATGTGGTGAAGACAGATATCTGACCCAGTTAACCCCCGAAGGTGTCATCGGTAGCAGCCGTGCACTGTCTTTGGCATAACAACGATTCCATTCATGTCCACCTGTTCGTAGCATTTAAGGACTAACTACATGTGTGTTGTAAGGTCACTATAAATCCTGTACTAACCTTTACTTATCTCTTTAGTAAAATAAGTAATATGCTTTTATAAATAAAGTAATAGTATTCTTATAAATGCCATAACAAACTAAATTTTGCAATCTAATTAAATTAATATCTAGCGATAAACAGAAATGACTGCATTAAGGGAGACGGTTTGCAGACTTAGCGTAAAGGGTAACTTATTAGAAATGTCAAGCTAAGCACCACGTCATATATTCTAGAAGAATTTTCCAGTCTCCTCCTTGGCAGATGAAATAGAATCCAGCTAAGCAAAATGTCAATTTTTGGTGCTTGTGACTGCTTAGCTCGTGTTTTTTTACGTTTTTTCAGTTTTTTTTTCAAGTTAAAGTGTATGTTTTTGATTAACAAGACTTTTCACCTTTTTTCCTTATATATATTTTTTTGGGTACTAATCGCGAACCTAACAGAAGCTGACTATTAAATCAGTCTCCACAATGAATAAAGTCTGGGCAAGGATGAGTCTCACCACATGATTTGGGTCGTAGAAATTATCGTTTTCGTAAGTAAAATGGAAACCGTTATAACGGACAGATGATAATGAGAAGTAATCTATATCATACGTACATGCATACATATAAATGTATATATGTATATATAAGTACATGCATACCTATCTCTGTATGTATATATGTATGTATTTAAAGTTTTATCTAGTTTTCTATTCTATATGCAACACATTTATCATATACTTAAACAAAACTTATAAAGCTAAATGCAGTAATTGCACTGATTATAACTATATGTTTGTGCTTATTTTTCAGATTCTTAGAACCTTTAATTATAAGCTAAACATTTTCTTATCTCATGATTCCAAGAAACATAACATTGAACGTAAAGCTTTAGAAATCGTCCGTATCAGATGTTAAGGAAACCACGTATTAGTTGCGTGACAGATTATTTTTAGTAACACTTGATCTTCCACTTTCGCTCCTGCTTGTCTGCGTGGTGTCGTCGCTGCGTCTGCCCCTCCTCGCCACGCCTTCGTCACTCATCGTTGCGTCATCGTTACGTCATGACCTCAGACCGAAGGTACATCGAGACGACCATCAAGGACCTCCCCCCACCTCCGACCCCCGCCATCAGAGTTGAAGATTCTAGCTCTTCCTCCAGCTACTTCAGTTCCACACACAAGGTAACTGGGAAATTTATCTTTGATTTATATAAGTGATAAAAAAAAACATTACACTCGTTAGATTCTCCTCTTCCTCCCTAAGAATGGGACTAATGTGATTGAGGACAAAATGCAATTATCAGCGATGGTAATATTTTTCTCTGTGCGTTATAGACCGTACTTGTAGTACTGAAATAACTTTTTATTAACATTATTTTGATGATTTTATTGTTTTAATTATTGTCAGCAGTGTACTATTATTGATATTAACATCAGCTTATTTTTTTTATTAACATTGGTATTATTATGATCATTATTGTATTGTTACTTTCATTTTTGTTTCATTAATCATTATCATTTCTTATCACTAATCAGAATATGACTCTAGATACCATTAATATTTTGCGTCGAAATAGAAACTAGTGCCGTTAATATCACCGTCGCCTTGATTTTCCTTTTCATAATCAGAGCAGACCATTACAAGCATAAGGGCCCAATGATACAATGCCACAGCAAGCACTAATATTTAACGCTCTAACCGTAACACAGTCTGCCGCCACCATCGCCGTGACCAGCAGTTCATCATCCCGACAGGAGAGCCGAAGCAGCAAAGTCGAGACCTCCTCCACTTCCGTGTCCGCTTCCTCCACCTCCACGGGGGCCAAGAGACAACTCAAGCCCTATGGCAAGAGGCAAGATTCCACTGGCTCAACCTCCAGGTCTCGGTCCGCCACAAAGGAACTTGAGTGTGAGTAGGAGTTCGCCTTTGAGTATTTCGTACTCATGGACTGTGCGATTTTTTTTTAATGTATAAGACTTAACGGCATTGCAGGAGGGCATTTTCCGTGTTACATAAATTGACCATTCAAAGCTAAATTCGTTTCTGAAGGGCCATCCTCTCCAACATCCCATTTCACTTTCCCTTCCAGTGCCGCCCGACGATGCCCTGATGGGACCTCCAGGATTCTCGGGAGAACTCCCCAAGATGCTGGCAGTTAAGGACGGCGACCCTCTCTGCCTCAAATGTACAGTGAAGGGCGACCCTGAACCTCAGGTCACGTGGTTCAAGAACGGAGAGCCCCTCAGCTCGTCAGACATCATCGATCTCAAATACAAACAGGGTCTCGCAGCCCTCACCATCAACGAAGTGTTCCCCGAGGACGAAGGCGAATATATATGCAAAGCCACCAGCTCGCTAGGCTCGGCGGAGACCAAATGCAAGCTCAAGGTGACGCCCATGGAGCAGCAGGTGAACGGCAAAGGAGGTCCGGGAGATAAGATTCCCAGAATTACTGAACACTTAAAGTCCCAAGAAGTCCCAGACGGCACGCCGATCACGCTAGTCTGCAAGATCGGAGGAGCTACCAAGTTCGACGTCGTTTGGTTGCACAATGAGAAGGAAATCAAGCCCTCAAAGGACTTCCAGTACGTGAAAGAAGGAGACAATTACCTCCTGAAGATCGCTGAGGTGTTCCCCGAAGACGCTGGTACCTACACGTGCGAGGCCTTTAACGACGTTGGAGAAACATTCAGTACCTGCACACTAGTTATTTTAAGTAAGTAGTCAGCTCGAGATATGAACGAAAGTTGTTTCTTGGATTATAATGAATTTGTTGATATTCAACTCTCTCTCTCTCTCTCTCTCTCTCTCTCTCTCTCTCTCTCTCTCTCTCTCTCTCTCTCTCTCTCTCTCTCTCTCTCTCTCTCTCTCTCTCTCTCTCTCTCTCTCTCTCTCGCTTTCCCACCGTCATCTGGCATCTCCCCCCACGAGACCCTGACGTTGTCCTTTGTTGCAGTTCCTGCCGAAGAAAAGAAGCAACCCGCCTTCAAGACCTTCCCTACCTCGGCGACCGTGAGCGAGGGCAAGTCCGCGACCTTCACCGTCAAATTCGATAAGGAACCGACCAAGGTTTCATGGGTGAAGGACGGCAAGCCAGTCGATGAAAAGTCCCCTCGCTACAAGTTCCAACAGGAAGGCAAAAAGGAGTTCTCGTTCGCTATCCCCAAATGCCTAACGACAGACGTGGGTCAGTACGTGGTGAAGGCTGCGGGAAAGAAGGGTGAGACGACAGCAGCCTTCTCTCTCAACGTCTATACCGCCGAAGACCTGTGATCTGCTTCACGCGCTCTCCCAGGCATTGGTTAGTACTGGATTTGTTTTCTTATTTGACAAAATGTATTAGCAAATCAATTTTGGTCATTAGAGTGTTTTTGAGAAGCTGCAGTGCTAAGAGTCCTGTTGTAGAATGATTCAGATGCTATGAATATTTTCTGTTTCGCTTTTTTGATTGTATGTTGATTGCTTCCTCTCTTTCCCTGACAGATAGGACCATATGGCCGTGAAGTCACGTGTTCTCGTTTCAATGAGTCCTTTACGTGACTGACGAACTCCATGGCCACTCAGCAAGCATATGCTCGCTGAGTTGGCCCTAGAGCAAGCATTTTCATCGTGTTATAGTTACTGTGTGCATGTTCGCTTCTGTGCTACATGTATTTTTCCTATGAGATTATTTATTATTAATACATTTATTAGCTATAGTTTCCTTTTGAGATGGAAGAGATATGTCTGATGCGAGAAAGGTTTTGCCATCATATCAAAGATTTCTGCACACACGTGAACTAGATGTATGTATTCAGTTTTGTGTCCGATTCACAAGCATTGTATATTGCCCTGTAATGGTGACTCCGTGTATGTTTGCCGACGACTGAACCAGCCAGATCGTGCACTCAGCGCGTCAAAAAGAGATGAACTCTGCGCACGTCTGATGGATTGTTTAGCACTGGGTCGTTCTTAGATCACAACATAAATACGTCAGTCTACTGTTCACATCTTTTTAACCCTTTTGATTCTAAATAGTGTTTTGTTCAGAGCCTTTAGTTTTGCTGTAATCTAACCTCGGATGACAGGCATAATCCGTTATTGTATAGGTTGGAATTGCACCACAACTTATATGACTATGGATTGTGCTCCTAATCGCCTCTCTCCAATTCTCTGTCTCTCGAAGTTCCCGCCATGTTCTCGTCGTTGTACGTCATCAGCCTATGAACCAATCACATAGCTCCCTGCGCTGCTCCCCATACTACGTCATCAGTCCACGAACCAATCACACAAAACGTCTCCAGTGACATGGTAACATCTATGTCAGTTATCTCAGCAGACTAGCGTAGTATGGCGCTCAGATAGAACAGACATTAACTGTATGAGAATTGCCAATGTAACTTGTATAAGGCTTTTACGCGAGAAATATATGTGAATTTTATTATACTTTCTTTCTTTACCCTACGCTCCTACACTCACCTCTTGAAAATGGTGTGATGGCATTTCATCCAGGAACTTAGAAACTGACAATGCTTGTTTTACAAGGTGCAAATGGAGAGGAATCAGAAGACAAAAATCCTAACAAATATACATACATTAATGCATATATGCATAGATACATACAATGTATACATACACAATACGTACATAATGGATACATGCATTCATACATACATACATACATACACAGATACACACACATGCACATGTACATGCACATGCAAATGCACATGTCTATGCACATACACATACACATACACATACACATACACATACACAGGCATAGACACATGCACATACAAATACACACACACACATACACACACGCACGCACACACACACACACACACACACACACACACACACACACACACACACATATGTATATATATATATATATATATATATATATATATATATATATATATATATATATATATATATATGTATATATATATATATATATATATATATATATATATATATATATATATATATATATATATATATGTATATATATATATATATATATATATATATATATATATATATATATATATATGTATGTATATATATATATATATATGTACATATATATATGTATCCATCTATATATTTATTTATCCATCTATCTATCTATCTATATATATATACATATATGTGTATGTGTGTGTGTGTGTGTGTGTGTGTGTGTGTGTGTGTGTGTGTGTGTGTGTGTGTGTGTGTGTGTGTGTGTGTGTGTGTGTGTGTGTGTGTGTGTGTGTGTGTGTGTGTGTGTGTGTGTGTGTGTGTGTATGTCTATATATCCATTTATCCAGATATATGTGTATATATATATATATATATATATATATATATATATATATATATATATATATATATATATATATATATACACACATATATGTATATCTGTATATATATATATATATATATATATATATATATATATATATATATATATATATATATATATACATATATGTATATCTGTATGTATACATATATATATATATATATATATATATATATATATATATATATATATATATATATATATATATATATATATATAACTTCTCTATATAACCTTACTACCACAAAGCTTTCGTGATGCCTTAGATACGTGGGTAACCGAAAGAAAGGAGCAAGTAGAGTCACCCTTAAATATGACTGTAGTATCTTGTCAGAGTATAACTACACATGAACTCCTAAATGCAGATAAACGAGGAAAAAGCACACCACCTGGAGAAGATAGCGTAACATATACGACATTCTAAACACATTAGTTAGCATGGAGAACAGTCCTTTATTAGATCTATGCAGCATGGATGACCGTATCTCTGACATCCTGTTTATGTAAAAGGATGGAATGAATATTATTAAACAGATTGATGTATATGATTGGAGATAAGCTATCTTGGAATCTGTACGGTTTTCTGAAAGGTAAAGGAGCATCTGACTGCCTAATTCAGCGTTTATCAAATGATGCAGAGAAGTGTGGAGTATTTGTTGATTTACAAGAGCCATTGATAAAGCCACCGGAGAAGTGATCAGTATGAGTTGACAAGACTCGGTGTCACGGGAAAGTTACTGAAGTGGGTTGGTGACTATTTGTCTGAGAGAAGAGCTCGTGTATGGTTTCAAGGATGTTTCAAGGATAGAAGTCTTGAGAGAAAACTCCACAGGGAGGTGTTTTAAGCCCAACGCTATTTAATTACTAATGAACAGAATAACCTCAGAGAGATATCCTCAAGGCGTCCAGCCAATTATTCACGCAGATGACTTATTGATACAAGGGACTACAGTCGACGGCGTTGAACAACTTCAATAGGCTTACTCAGACTCAGGTTTGGTTATCAATCAAGTAAAAACAAAGTTTCAGAGTAAACAAAGTGAGACAAACAGGTGGAGAAGGTATTGACATATAAATATCTGGGTGTGTACATTGGCTTTACTGCCTCAACTAAATGCTGAGGTGAATCATATATTGCCCAGTGTAAGGCGCGGTTACAGCCGCTCAGAGCACTTGATTGTCGCGGAGCAGGAGCCGGGGTTTCCTTACTGAGATTAGTCTACATTAGCGCTATAAGAGGTCTGATGGATTAAGCAGCACCAGCACTTTCCATAGGCTGTCAAGGGAAAACTTGAGGCCATAGAGAATGAAGCTATGTGAATAATCCTCAGGAGTCAAAGGAATAACAGGATACACATAATGAGAGCGGAGATTGGATTGCAAATCAGTGTACAGAGAGTGAGCGAGATCAACGCAATCGCGGCCATCGGGTTAATGAGAGAGGTCAGTGGAAAGAAATTAATGAGGGATATGGCTAGCGGTTTAAACAACATAAGATCATTTGATAGGCAAGGCAAGCGAGGATATATGAAGAAACCTAGACATGCATTTAATATTATGGATTGAAGGATTATTGTCACTCTCATTAGACATCTCCGAAAGTGCCCCTATGTGAGCATCAGGATATTAGCATAGATGTAGAACCTCTCTCTATGAATAGATCCATGTACAAGCCAGGTCAACTTAAAGCAACGTACGGCCAAGTAGTCTAACACGACTTGATATTATTCATGTTTACTGTGATAGGTCACTGCTGGAGGATGGCAGAGCTGGGTGCCGAGTCATCATCAGACAGTTCACTGAGAGTGGAGTGCTCACTGCAAGCACTGGGATGAGACTGAGTAATCACATATCTTTAACATAGTTGACGAGTGTCGTTTGATAGCTCATGGGTTGCAGGGTCTGGGATTACATTTGTCTGACTATCTTCGCATATAGGCGTTACCTTTAATGAAGCTGATGATAAGGTTGCGAAAGGGTCGACCAGGAAGCACGAGGTGGACATTAAGTGCATGCGGACTCTCTCTCTCTCTCTCTCTCTCTCTCTCTCTCTCTCTCTCTCTCTCTCTCTCTCTCTCTCATCTCTCTCTCTCTCTCTTTCTGTTCCCCCCTCTCTCTCTCTCTCTCTCGTCTCTCTCTCTCGTCTCCTCTCTCTCTCTCTCTCTCTCTCTCTCTCTCTCTCTCTCTTCTCGTCTCTCTCTCTCTCTCTCTCTCTCTCTCTCTCTGTCTCTCTCTCTCTCTCCTCTCTCTCTCTCTCTCTCTCTCTCTCTCTCTCTCTCTCTCATCTCTCTTCTCTCTCCTCTCTCTCTCTCTCTCTCTCTCTCTCTCTCTTTCTGTTCCTCCCTCTCTCTCTCTCTCTCTCTCTCTCTCTCTCTCTCTCTCTCTCTCCTCTCTCTCTCTCTCTCTCTCTCTCTCTCTTCTCTCTCTCTCTCTCTCTCTCTCTCTCTCTTTCTGTTCTCTCTCTCTCTCTCTCTCTCTCTTCTCTCTCTCTCTCTCTCTCTCTCTCTCTCTCTCTCTCTCTCTCTCTCTCTCTCCTCTCTCTCTCTCTCTCTCTCTCTCTCTCTCTCTCCCTCTCTCTCTCTCTCTCTCTCTCTCTCTCTCCTCTCTCTCTCTCTCTCCCTCCTATCCTCTCTCTCTCTCCCTCCTATCCTCTCTCTCTCTCTCTCTCCCTCCTATCTATCCTATCTTTCTCTCTCTATCCCCTATTCTCTCTTTCTCTCTCTGTCTCTCCTATTCTCTCTCTCTCTCTCTCTCTCTCTCTCTCTCTCTCTCTCTCTCTCTCTCTCTCTCTCTTCTCTCTCTCTCTCTCTCTCTATCTCTCGCTCGCTCTCTCCCTCTCTCTCTCTCTCTCTCTCTCTCTCTCTCTCTCCTTTCTCTCTCTCTCTCCCTCCTATCCTCTCTCTCTCTCCCTCCTATCCTCTCTCTCTCTCTCTCCCTCCTATCTATCCTATCTTTCTCTCTCTATCCCCTATTCTCTCTTTCTCTCTCTGTCTCTCCTATTCTCTCTCTCTCTCTCTCTCTCTCTCTCTCTCTCTCTCTCTCTCTCTCTCTCTCCTCTCTCTCTCCTCTCGTCTCTCTCTCTCTCTCTCTCTCTCTCTCTCTCTCTCTCTCCTCTCTCTCTCTCTCTCTCTCTCTCTCTCTCTCTCCTCTCTCTCTCTCTCTCCCTCCTATCCTCCCTCCCTCTCCCTCCTATCCTCTCTCTCTCTCTCTCTCCCTCCTATCTATCCTATCTTTCTCTCTCTATCCCCTATTCTCTCTTTCTCTCTCTGTCTCTCCTATTCTCTCTCTCTCTCTCTCTCTCTCTCTCCCCTCTCTCTCTCTCTCTCTCTCTCTCTCTCTCCTCTCTCTCTCTCTCTCCCTCCTATCCTCTCTCTCTCTCCCTCCTATCCTCTCTCTCTCTCTCTCTCCCTCCTATCTATCCTATCTTTCTCTCTCTATCCCCTATTCTCTCTTTCTCTCTCTGTCTCTCCTATTCTCTCTCTCTCTCCTATTCTCTCTCTCTCTCTCTCTCATCTCTCTCTCTCTCTCTCTCTCTCTCTCTCTCTCTCGTCTCTCTCTCTCTCTCTCTCTCTCTCTCTCTCTCCTATTCTCTCTCACTCTCTCTCTCTCTCTCTCTCTCTCTCTCCTCTCTCTCTCTCTCTCTCTCTCTCTCTCTCTCTCTCTCTCTCTCTCTCTCATCTCTCTCTCTCTCTCTCTCTCTCTCTCTTCTCTCTCTCTCTCTCTCTCTCTCTCTCTCTCTCTCTCTCTCTCTCTCTCTCTCTCTCTCTCTCTCTCTCTCTCTCTCTCTCTCTCTCTCTCTCTCTCTCTCCTATTCTCTCTCTCTCTCTCTCTCTCTCCTATTCTCTCTCTCTCTCTCTCTCTCTCTCTCTCTCTCTCTCTCTCTCTCTTTCTCCTATTCTCTCTCTCTCTCTCCTATTCTCTCTCTCTCTCTCTCTCTCGTCTCATCTCTCTCTCTCTCTCTCTCTCTCTCTCTCTCTCTCCTATTCTCTCTCTCTCTCCTACTCTCTCTCTCTCTCTCTCTCCTTCTCTCTCTCTCTCTCTCTCCTTCTCTCTCTCTCTCTCTCTCCTACTCTCTCTCTCTCTCTCTC